GCCCCCCAGGGTCAGCGCACTCCACAGTGCCACCGCCCAGCCAACCCCTTCCAGAAGGTCTCTGCCCGCCCTGTCTCCTGGCTCTCTCATCTGGTCCTGAGGGGCTCACAGAGAACCGCAGAGTTCTCAGCCGGGGACAGGTCAGCACATGGATGGCAGTGGCGGACCCCCGGGCCCCTGGAGTGCTGCCGGCTGCCTGGCCTGGCCGGGAGGGTCTGCTGCTTGTTCAGCCCAGCGCACGTGCTGACTGGCACCTGAACCCTCCTCCTCGGAGCATTTCCTAAAGACAGCCTGCAGTGGACACAGCTGCCTCTGACTCAGAGCAAGGCACAAGGACCCAAAGCAACCATCAGCAAGGACAGCTCTGTCTTCCAGCCTCTGAGGGAGGACAGACCGCCAACTTAGCCCAGGGCGAGTACGGGCAATCACTGCTGGCACTGTGTCCACGCCACCCACCTTGGTGTTGGGTCCCCTCTCGGCCTCGAGTCCCGCGATCCCCTCCCTCATGCTCCCTTCCCAATGCCCAGCCCCCTCTGCACGTGCGAGGGCCTCAGCTCCCTCCCTCCGGCCAGTAGTTACCCCAGCTGCATTTATCTTTGACAAGCCCCAGCCAACGACCAACGCCACCTACCAGCCCGTAACTGGGGGTTTCCAAGAGCTGGCCGCCAACCCACCCCACCCGGCAAAGCCTCTTACCGGAGGGTGAACTGTTCTGCCACGGAGCCGCTGGTCAGAGAGACCAGAAAGGTGGCTGTGTCCCCTTCGCGGATGAGGTTCAGCGGGACGGAGAGGGCGACGTTCTGGTCCAGGCTCAGCAGGGACCAGCGCAGGTCGTCCTGAGTCGGGTAGACCACCACGCTGCCGATGCGCTCCCGGGCGGGGGGCGCCTGCGGGGGGCTGTCCTGGCCCAAGTGGATGTTGTTCTCCCACTTGCCCTCCTCTTCCAGGGGACACTGGCCCGCCGCGTCGGCCGGGTAGAGGCTGAAGAAGAGCTCCATGGCCGTGCCTCCCAGCAAGGCCGGGATCTCCTCCTCAGGCTCCAGGTCCAGGCCGGAGCTGAACCACTCGGGCAGCAGCTCCAGCTCGGCCACGCACAGCCCGGGGGCCCCCTGCAGCCGGCAGCTGGCCGCCACCTCCCTGGCCTCTGGGAAGGCAAACATCTTGACGCAGGGCAGGTCCTCCCCCGGGTCGCTGTCATCCCAGGCCATGCCGGTGACATAGAAGAGGGTCTGCACCTTGGGCCGGTTGGAGTAGATGGAGCTGTCGAGGATGTGGGGCTTCAGCTTCCAGTTGAAGGGGAACTTCTCCAGGTCCCCGAAGGCCGTGGGCGTCAGCAGGAGCTCCCGGGGCACCGGCCTCTCAGCGGAGAAGGGCCCGTAGCTGGCGTTGACGGAGGGCGGGCCCCGGGCACGGTAGACGAAGAGGGACTCCACCCGGGCCTGCAGGCTGGCGTTGCGCGTCAGGTCCTGCCTGGCCTCCTTGAGGAAGAAGGACGCCTCGGCGCCGGCGATGCGCAGGTCGGAAGGCAGGAAGGCCGGCAGCGAGGAGAACCTCTGCAGGCCATCCACGGCGCCTCGGCCCGCGGCCACTGCAAGAAAGAGAGCAAAGATGAGACCCTGTTCTGCCATGCGAGGAGATGACCCAACGCAGTCCCCCCCGCCACCTAGCAAGCTGCCCCTGGCCACAGGGAAAGCCTTGTAATTGCACACAGCGTGTTCTTCAGGACTGTCCCCAAACCCTGTGGCGTGGGAAGGAGCCCCGATGGCCACTGACCCGTGGCCCCGAGGCGCTCGGCTGCCTCCCCCAAGGGCAAGTGTTACTCCTCCCATCTTGATCTCGCAGAGAGAGCCTCACACCCAGGTACGGGGTCATCTTGGTGGCCCCTCACTGCAGAGCACGTGGCACCCACTACACCCGCCACCCAAGCCGGCCCCACCCAGGTTCAAGACTTGGCAGCTCCTGCTTCTCTTCCCCCACCCCCGGGTGACAGGACTCAGACACGGAGATACATCCAGAGTCATCAAGAGGCTCGCAAAGCTCAGGCTCAGCATTTCCACTTCTAGGAATCCCTCCTTCTGAAACACTGGGGTGGGACGGGCGCGTAAAGCTTTCTCCACGAGGCCATTCCTGCCTCAGCTAGAACCGCGAACATACTGCAGAGCGTGCTGGAGCCGAAGCCGGGCCGTGAACCCGTGGCTGAGCAACCTGCCACAAGTGGCCGAACCTCTCTGTGCCTCAGAGGTCCTCACATAAAGGAGGATATAAAGGCAGCCCCTGGCTTCCTGGGCTGCAATGAGGATCGGTAAATAAGAAGCGCTTGAGAGGGGTGCTGGCCTACGAAAATGACCATCAATATGTACTCGCTGTCATCACCACGTAACACCGTACCCAGACTGAGATGAGAGAGGCCTGAGGTTGTTACAAGGGTGTACAGACGGCTATGGACCAGGAAGTAGTTATGTGAACATACTTAAAATAAAACACTGATGTGCATGAGGGATGCCCACGGATGTCATAAAAAACACGTTACAACTGGTCATCAAGACTGCTCGAGTGTGTCCCCCAGAGGTTCCTGTGCAGAACCTTCGCTCTCCCCAAGGCAGCGTTGGGCGGTGGAGCCTCATGGGAGGTACCTGGGTTGTGGGGGAAACTTGTAAATGATTCCCGCCTTCCCTGAGAAGGGGAGCGGGGTGTCTTTTCCTTCTCCAGGTGCACCTGCTTGCCCTTCCACGTCTGCCATGAATTATGGCAGTAGGAGGCCTGCTCCAGAAGCTGAGCAGGTGTTGGCACCAAGCTATGCTCTCAGAACCGTGGGCCAGAATAACCTCCAACCTTTATAATCACCCAGTCTCAGGTATTCTGCTATAGTAACAGAAAACAGACTGAGACAGTCCCATATGACCCTACTTGGGGAAACTTTTAAGTAATGTATATGTGTATGTATTTAAATGCCCATGTACTTACATTTGGGTATCTGTGAAACTGAAAAGAGAAAGATTTTTGCTATTGATCATACGTATTTCTCCTTCCAATGTGTAACAGCAATCAAGTGTTGTTTGCTCATTGAAATGTATAAATCGTGCTCATAGACACGGCGTGTGGGCCTGTGTGCTGCTGGCGTGTTCCTTAGGCTGCCCGTCTTTCAGATGGGAAAACACAGCGAAAGCCAGCAAGCTTTTTTAAAGGAAAGACAGCCCACCAGGAACCAGGGCACAAATCAGCCAGGAACACAGAGAGGTTTTTTTCCTCTTGCCCTGAAATAAACCTCGCCAATGGAGCCCAGGTTTCCAACCAACACAAGGAACCTGACAGCAGAGTCCAACCTGGGCCTCACCAGAGGCTGAAAGGGCAAGGGAAGGCCACTCACCGCCCTCGGCCCAGTGCACGCTTCTCTGCAGCCATTACACACCCTACAAATGGATTTCTATTGATTGACGTAGTTTTCTTTCCCTTCTCAAAGAACTGTTTCTATTGAAATTTCCTTTCCTGGATGATGATGGAATTCTAAATAGGAGATGGTGAAAAGACCCAGGCAACTGGGGGTTGGTGCATCCCCTCCCCAGGGAGGCATCTGGAGGAGGGGTCTCAGCAGCAGCATCACGGCCACCCCACGTCATGTTAACTAGCAGAGGATGGTAGTTACTTGTTCATGAATCCAACTGTAGAGACCATCTGTTGACTCTGTCCCCAGCGCTATGGCTGTTGAGGACATCACAGAGACAAGGTAGACCTGCTTTCTGCCCCAGGAACTGGCGAACTTTGGAGAAAGATGCAGCTAACAATCAAAGCAATTAGGAAACTGAGGATCCAGACCCTTCACAAGGCCACCTGCAGCAGCGTCCCCCTTCACCCCAGGGATTTGTTCTAAGTGGTCAGGAAGGACAGTCACACGCAAGGATGTTCGTCACTGGCAGGATCAGCAGCAGCAGGAAGCTCCCTAGGGACTATCATTAGGGGAAGCCACGCCACAGACAGTTCAAGCCACCAAGACCCCAACGTTGACACATGTGCAGCCCCGAGAAAACCCAAGTGTGCTCCAGAGCAGGAAGAGGCCAAGGCCCTCCTCATGCGACCTCAGCCTGTCCACACACAGATCCCTCCCTACCTGCATGTGCCCCACCGGTCGGGCCGCACTGGGCTCACAGGAGAGAGGGAGAAACAACACAGAGGAATCAGCCCATCCAAGGGGCAGCTTCAGGCTGCTGCCACTAGGACAGTGAGGCAGCAGCACCCTCCCCAGCGAAGTTCAGGTCAGTTTGGGGGCTGCTTTCTCTCCCCTCTCCAAACCAGGAAGCCACATTCCCAGACTCTACCAAGGTGACTAGCAGTAGGACCACGGTCCACGGGAGACGGCTGCTTGGGCAGCGTGACACCATCGTCAGCCCACCAGAGCTGGACGAGAGGGTCCCATTTTACCTTCTCAAAAAATTTAAGGGAAGCCCGAGGCCGGGCTTCAGCTCTGATTTACTCCCAGATGCGGGAAAGAAATGAAAGTAACTGCAAACCTCGCCACGCTGTGCTCCTGAGGACGGCTTCTTTCTCCCTTTATTTCTACGTAGGAACTGGACGCCTCTTGGACACTGATTTACCAGAGATCTAAGGCTGCACCTTCTCTTTACTGCCGCCAAAGCCCACGTCTTACCTGCAGAAGCAGGGGGCGTTGGACTCCTGTTCCCCTGCAACTCAAGCCAAAGGCAACACAAATTGCGTCTGAAAGCGTCTACAGAGACCATAAGTGATAGATGCAGGGGGCCTTCCTGTGTCCTCACACCAGGCTGCAGGGAACGGGACGCCTTCATTCTGGGCCCGTGATGAGGCCCCACCTGTGGCCTGAGACACCGTGTCCCTCCCGCTGATCCCCAGGTGACATCTAGGAGCACATCCTCCTTCCCCTCAGTGGCAGACCCCGTGGCCTGTGTGCAGAGGGAAGTGAGTCCTAGACAACTGCTCACCCCTGGGGGCTGTCCACACTGACGGAGGGAGGGGGCAGAAAGCCCCACCAGGAAGGACTCTCACTGCTGCCCTCAGGTAGCTGGAGGCAGAGTAGGGTCAGGTCCAGAGAGATGGGGAGGGCCCAGGCAGAGGCTCCACAGGTAGAGGGGACTGACTCAGGACAGCAGTGACAGATGGCCCCAAGGAGCCCCAGAGAGAGCACAGGGCAGGCAGGGGCTGGTGACCCCTGGAGGAAGCTGGGAATCCTGGCAAGGACAGGGTGACCCCCAGTGAGCGGACTGTTGACCCTGCGGGCACACACAGCACTCCCCTGGGTCAGGACTGGGGGACCCTCAGGCCTCAACCCAGATGGCACAGCGTGGACCTGCTACAACCCTCAGACTCAGAACTCAGGCCCTTTCCCTGGTATCGCCAACCCCACCCAGAAATGAAGTCACCAGTTGTGAGGCCACCAGTACCCGGCCAGGGACAGGGCAGCTGCAGCCGAGATTCTTTCTCCAGTTCACACAACTTGGACCTGGAGAACCAGGCACAGAGGCTCCCTCCAGGGGCCAGAGGGCAGGTCTTTGAAGACCACTGATCTGTCCAAGGGTGGCCCTGACTAGCTGCTGGCAATCCACAGCCACCTGCGAAGCCCAGGTACAGCTGTGACCCTCAGTGGCTCCGGGTCGGGAGGCCCAGGTCTGCCAGGAAGCCTCGGCAGGTGGTGCAGGAACTTCTCCAGGGTGAAGACCTGGACTAGAGGACTCCTGTGCTCCCCAACCCTGGGTTCCCCTTCTCCGCAGCCCGATCAGCCGGGTCATCTCACCCTCCTCCTGTCCTCTGCCCTCACTGGGAAGCTCCTCCACACAGCACAGAGCAGCCCCTTCCTCAGCCAGGAGCCCGGGACTCCAGCCCTTCCCCAAGCCCTCTGCCTCATGGGGAACTGACCTCCCCCTCCCCACTCTGCAGTACGTCCAGCCAAAGGGAGGCTCCGGTAGGAGGACTAGAGTGTGGAGACCGGGAGAGCCAGGGCACGCCTTCCTGTCCTCTCCCTGTCTGCTCAATGACTTCTGCCCCCACAGTGCTCAGTCATGGTCCCAGGTTCCCATAGCGGGGACCGTGGTACCCAGCTTACTGCTGAGTCTCTGGGCCCTCCTAGTAGAGCAAGTTAAACAAATGCTCATGGAGTGGATATCCACCAAGTACGACTGCTTGGGTTCCATGCTCCAGAGAATAGATCTCCCGTGTTCCCTCCCAGTCTCTCTGGCTTCCTCTGGGGGTTGTGAACACTAACACACTCCATGCCATTCATCTTCCTCTTCACCGTCACGTCACTGGGTGCCAGGCTGGCAGCCAGTTTTGCCAAACAAGGTACTGCGATTTCCATGTGGCAAGAGAAGATATCAATTAAAGGAGAAGCAGGCTACTGAGGTGCCAGCACACCCGGGTCCACGTACCTGCCCTGTCGGGGACCCTCACGACAGTCTGAGATGAGCAGTCTCAAAACTGCCTTGGAAAAATTACAGAGCTGAGCCACAGAGAAGTTCAGCCATCTGAACACAGTCAGTTCCTTCCACCTCCACTTTCCAGCTCTGTCCACTGCCTGAGGTCCTCCTGGCCCAGTGAATCTACAGTGAAGGAGCCGGAGCTCAGCACCCAAGGCCAAGTTCATGGACCGTGCGCCAGCCGGGAG